ATAAAAGTTCCCTTTTTACTAAAAGTCTCCGGATTCATAATCCATTAATTAGCAATTATCTCAAGTCGGGGAGAGTAGATGGCAATATCAATAAATCTCAAGACAAACAAATCAAACATGCGCAACTCATGCCGAGGTCGTACGGCCCGATCCAACATAAATGTAAAATGTGCACTACCGAGGGTCGAGCGGCCCGAACCATAGATGGATCTATTACCCCGCTCGCGAATCATACATGCGACGCGGTCAAATTTAAATAGACAATTACCCTGCTCACGTACCATACATGCGACGCAGGTACACATAGAAGTACATGCTCAAATAGCAAATTAAGAATTTTATGGGGAACATTTATCCCATCAGAAGCCAATTCTCTTTTTATGATTCAAGGAATAAAATTTAATCCTCTTAGAAATTCATTTACCAATTCGATAGGATTTAAGAAATTCAACTGTCTATAAGATTGCAATTATTCCAAGTATAATATGCTTTTGGGTCCTAGACTACTCGAACTTACACATACTAGTAGCTACGCACGGACTCTCGTCACCTCGTGCGTATGTAGCCCCCACAAATAGGAGCACATAATCTATTATTTCACCTATGGGGACAATTCCCTCTTACAAGGTTAGAAAGGAGACTCACCTCACTCCGAAGATCCATAACCGGCAGTCCACGTCCTTCCGAAGACTCGAATCGATGCTAAATGCTCCAAATCTAGCCAATAATTATTCAAATCCATTAATATAGGTTCAATTACTCATTACAATCCAATTCATAACAATTCCTGACCCCGATCGAAAAGTCGATAAAAATCACCCTCGTGCCCACGTGCCCGGATTCTATAAATTATTGAAAGTAAATATTGCCCATAACTCATTTGGTCTATATCCAGAAATTCATCCAATTTCGTCCATGCATCGACCCTCAAATCAAGGATTTACCATTTTTCAACTTTGGGGCTCAAAATCCCAATTTCTACAATCCAAACACGGATAAAAATAGAAACCAACAGAAATAATCATGGAGAAACATCAAAATAAAGGTCAGATATTTATCCCTTTGTTGAGACGAGAACAACGCCATAAAAATCACCTCAAACGGAGCTCCAGAACTCAAGATATGCCCAAAATACTAAAATTCTCGGTTTAAAACACTGTCCAGGCGATATTTCTTCATCGCCTTCGCGGGACACCATCGTGTTCGCGAAGGGCATTTTTGTCGCATTGACCGGTCAACCCAGAAATCCTTCTTCTCGTTTGCGGAACCTCTCACGCGTTCGCAAAGAACAAATCTTTACACCAGAAACCAGCAGTATTTTTCGACACGGAAATGAGCATAACTCCCTCATACGATGTCCAAATTCGACGATTCTTTTTGCTATGGCTCCGTAATTATGATACGGATCTAATGGTACAATAAAAATTTAATTTGGAGCTTATTTTCTTAATATAGTACCCTTAATATCCAAAGAAACGATGTTGAAACATCAAATAAGAGCGCGATACGAACCGAAACACACCCGAGGCCCCCGGGACCCGAACCAATCATACCAACCAGCCCCAAAACACATTACGGACTTGCTCGAGGCCTAAAATCATATCAAACAATGCTTAAACCACGAATCGACCTCCAATCCAAACTTTATGAACTTTAGAATTTCAAACTTCTACTTTCGATGTATAAACCTATCAAATCACGTCCGATTGACTTCAAATTTTGCGCACAAGTCATATTCAACATTACGGACCTACTCCAACTTTTGGAATCGGATTCCGACCCCGATATCAAAATGTGCACCTCCGGTCAAACCTCTCAAAAACCTTCAAATTTCTCTCCTTAGCCAAATGGCTCCAAAATGCTCCACGGACATCCGAATTCACTTCCGATCGCGCTCCCAACTCCAGAATCACCATGCGGAGCTACTCCCAGTCTCGGAATCCCAAATGGATATCGATAACACTGAAATGCACATCAACCCAAACTTATGAAATTTCTTCCAAAATGCTAACTTCCATAAGAGGCGCCAAAACGCTCCCGGGTCACCCAAAACCCGATCCGGTCATACGCCCAAGTCCGAAATCATCATACGAACCTGCTAGAACCTTCAGATCCCGATTCCGAGGTCGTTTACTCTGAAATTTAATCCTAGTCAATTCTCTCAACTTAAAGCTTCCGAAATGAGAATTTCCTCTCCAAGACAACTCCGAACTTCCCGAAATTTAATTCCGACCACGCGTACAAGTGATAATGCCTGAATTGAAGCTGCTCATGGCCTCGAACTTCTGAACGACGCGCTAGGGCTCAAAACGATCGGTCGGGTCGTTATATTGATGTTTACGGAATTATAGTCAATGAAGATTTAAATTATAGTCAATTGAATTTCGCAGTTGCAGAGCATCTAATAATTGATACCTTTGCAAAAATCATCGAGATCAAATACACTATCAACGAACATTGTCCTCCAATGGAAATTCAGAACGATATGAGAGTTCGAGTGTATATGGAGACAAAAAAGGAAAACAAAATGTATATGTTGTGTATAATAGTACGTGATTTCGATTTGGAATGTAGTATGTCGAATGCGAGCAAAGTTGCAGGTTTGCTCTGTTTTTTCAGTGCTGATGTTTTTCAATTTCAAGTGTTCTACAATTTTACTACAAATATATCTAATACTATACTACATAGCAAATGCAGTTCAACTGCTATGTCTCTAAATACAATTGAAGTGTAACTATTACATAGTACTTAAGGTTTGAAAAAATCAAAATGTGATCACAGAACAAAGTTTCCACAAGTATTCTGTCAAATACTAAACACCTGAATGTACAGAGGTATGAATTACTATACTTTTAATTCAGTGCATGTACTTCTGATTATCGTAATACTAACGTGGTACAATTGTCAATCAAGTGTAACACATTTGGAGAAGTATCAGGAACAATGAAGTTGATTGATATACTGTTGGCCCAAGTGAAGGTTAGTTTTGAAGACTGACAAGGAACTCAGATATGAACTAGGTCCATCCCAGTGGAGCACAGATGTGGATAGACTTGAGCATGTGGGATGCACGTGAAGTAGATAAACCTAACTTAGCAGAAGTGATATCTCCTGATCTTGATCGAAAAGGTTGCATATTAGATAAGGAGAAAGACTCCTTACTCAAAGAGAACACGGTTTAAGAAAGGAATAGAGTTAGAGGTTGAAATCAACTAGAACTCTTCCACCAAGGAAGAGTAGCATCAGAATTCTAGTCAATCTCTATTTACTAAATCTATAAATATTAGTGTTGTTCTCTTTTACAGGTAACACACATAAGCAGAATTTAAATGTGAATTGAGAGCAAAATAACAAGGCAATTTCACAAGCAGTTCGTGTGTGATTCAAGTGTGCAAACCTGAAGCTACATGAACCGGATAGAAGAACCAGTTTCAAGTGTCTGTCTTTTATTCTAGTTCAATTGTAGTAGGTGGTTTTATATTGTACCTTTCAGCTTTATCTAGAGGCAATTGTAATAGGTACTCAGAGTCTTCAACTTAGAGTTAACTTGAAGTTGTCGCAACAGTTAGAGGCTGTGTGCTACAACGAGATTAGAGTTAGTCCTAGGTTTACGAAAGAGTTTTTGTAAATGCAGTTTTTGGCTCAGTGATTTTAGTGGAGAGTTTGGGAAAATCCTACTGGAAAGTAGGTCGTGGTTTTTTCACCTTTTGAGCCAGGTGTTTTCCACATAAAATACTTGTGTTCTTTACTTTTCGCATTTACTATTTCTGCAATAGTAGGTTAAGGAACACATAGAAAAACCAGGTCTTTCCATAATCAGTCTAAGCAAACAATTGGTCACCATACAAATCACCCCCCTCTTGTGTGGTATTGGAGTATAAGACATCAATTGGTATTAGATAGGGTTATCCTTGAAGAGGCTAACACCTTAGGAACAGATCAAGATGAATGCACCACCTGAAAACTGGGAAGGGCAATCCACTGCTAGGCCTCCACTCTTTAATGGCTAGTACTACTCCTGGTGGAAAAACAGGATGAGAGATCACATCATCGGAGAAGACTATGAGCTATGGGATATTGTCACTGATGGTCCCCTGGCTACCATGAAGAAGAATGCTGAAGGAGTAAACGTGCCAAAAACAAGAGCTGACTGCAATGCTGAGGACTTGAGGAAGTGGGAAAAGAATGCTAAGGCTAAGAAATGGCTTGTGTGTGGACTTGGTCCAGACGAGTACAATAGAATTCAAAGCTGTACCACTGCTAAGGAAATCTGGGACACTCTGCAAGTGGCTCACGAAGGAACTCCTCAAGTGAAGAGATCAAGAGGAACACTGTTGTATTCTCAATATGAGAATTTCACCATGAAGGAAGGAGAAACCATTCAACAGATGTATATAAGGTTCACCATACTAACAAACGAACTTTAGTCTCTTGGAAAGGTTATTCTTGAAGAAGACAAAGTTGAGAAAATTTTGACAAGGGTTCTACCAGTCACTTGGGAAAGCAAAATCACTGCAAATCAGGAATCAAAGAACATTAACACCCTTAAGTTGGACGAGCTAATTGGAAATCTCACTGCTTATGAACTTAGAAGGCAAACCATGAAGATGGATGAACCCAAGAAGGAAAGGAGCCTGGATCTCAGAATCACTGAAGGTGCTGATCTAGAAGAGGATGAAATGGCTATGATCACAAAGGATTTCAAGAAGTATTTAATGAGAATAAAGGGTTATTCAAGAGGTGCAAGCTACAACAAACCAAGGGTTCCTGAAAAATAGACCAACAAGGGCTGCTACAAGTGTGGTAAGACTGATCATCACATCAAAAACTGCCCTCAGTGAGAAATTGAATGGAAGAAGGAAATGGCTGAATGAAGAAACAGGAAGAAGGAACAGGTTCTTCCCAAGAAGAACAAAGGATCAACAAAGGCTATGTTTGCTGCCTGGGGAGAAAGTTCAGATGAAGATTCAGAGGATGAAGATGTAGATTAACAAGCACTTATGACCATTGGAGAATCTGACGAGGAATTTGAGGTAAGTATAATTCATCTCAAAGACAAGATTATGTTTTTGTGCAAAGAAAGTCTATCTGAGTTACTTCTGGATTTCATTGATGAATCTGAGGTCATAAACAATGAAAAGGAACAATTGTCTAAGGAGTGTGCGATTTTGAGAGCTAAGTGCATGAATATGGAACTTAGGGCTAGTGAAAGTGATAGTAAAAATGCTGAGTTAAAGAACCAGGTTCTTGAACTTGAAACCACTGTGTTAGAGCTTAGATCTGAAAATTTAAAACTGAAATTAGGAACAGGTAAAAAGAAAGCTAATCACACACATCTCACTTTAGAAGAAAATCTAGGAAAAATAAAGATGAATTGTACAAAAGAGATGATCAGATAAGAGTCCTAAAGAAAGATCTAAGCAATGTCAAGCATGAGCTAGGCATAACTTGTAAATGAAATAGGTCTTCTGATGCACTTTCATGGCTACAAGAACGCTATAGTAGCAATAAGAGAGGACTTGGCTACGGGACCCCTGCACCTAAGTGGGATCCCAAAATCAAGTACATCACACTTCCTGAGAACAAAATCTGCACACACTGTGATAAGACTGGTCACTACAAAAGTGAATGTACTGCAAAAGAAAAGGCTAGTCAAAAGAACAAAACATTTGTTCCAGGGAAAAATAGGCTGTCGGGATAGGCTAAAAAGAATTTAATTCACCCTTTTGCCTATAGAAAGGGACCCAAACTAGTTTGGGTTCCTAAGACTAACCCCTGATTTCCTTTTGCAGGTCCAAGTGAAAGGGAGCAGTCAAGTATGGTACATGGATAGTGGCTGCTCAAAACATATGACTGGAAGCAAGAACCAGTTCCTTTCACTTGAGAACCTCAAAGGAGGAAATGTCTCCTTTGGAAATGGTAAGAAAGGTGAGATCATTGGGATTGGAAAGGTAGGTAAGACATACTCGCACTCCATTGAGAATGTCTATTTGATAGATGGCTTGAAATATAGCCTAATCAGTGTATCACAACTGTGTGACAGAGGTAACTTGGTAGCATTCACCTCTACCAAATGTTTGTGATAAATCTTACTACTGATAAGATNGGCTTGTGCAAGGGGGAAGCAGGTAAGATCTTCTTTTAAATGCAAGAAAGTGATAAGCACGGCCAGATCGATGGACCTGGTCCATATGGATCTCTGTGGTCCAATGAGAACATTAAGCATATGTGGTAAAAGATATGTGATGGCACGTGTC